GTGTCTGGAATCATTATTAGGTTTTAATTATATTTTATGAGGCCATTTTGGAACAGCAAATTGCAACATTATCAAGTATGGAATATTCATATGATGATTTTTATTTCAATTTTTATTTTTTTATCGCCTATTAAAATTAACTTTCAAGCAGCTAGCTTTAACCTGTAGTATAAAAATATAGTTTCATTGTAAACTTTTACACGCAGAAGTTAATATCAAGACAAACATATATTTTAATTTACAAGCAAGAGGTCTTATGTTTTAAAAAGTGTTTTTAAAGGGGATAAATAATAAACATACTATGTATTATTCATTTTAAAGCCCTAGCAAAAAAGATTAAAGTGGTTGTATAGTTGTATAGTAAAACGGATGTATAGTTACGGCAAGTGTATCTGACAATTCTCCCGGATATTTTCAATCTCTATTGAGAGCCAAGTAAGCGAGACTAATAGTTTGGAAACAGTTGGGGACTGTGATTATTGATTTGATACAACCCAGTGTACCAAGATGGGTCTGTAGTGTTGCCAACAAAACCCCCAGAGCAGTACCATCTCGTACCCATTTTACACCCCTCATCACCGTCTAGGACTTGCTGTATACCCTCCCTTCCACTGCAATAACAACATTTGGCGCCAGAGGGACACTAGCTCAACAAGGAGTTTATTGATGTAATCTGTGTGTCTGAGTGATTCAGGAATTTATGATAAGGGCGGAAACATTATTTAGCAACTATACTCAAACCATTCATTTTTATCATTCTGGTAATTAATTGTCTGAAAATCTGTTAGTGTAGTAAGTAAATCTGTATTAATCGGAAAATTGTTCTTTATCCCATATCCCATTTATCCTTTATTAGGTTTTTTAGAAAGGTAAAAGCGAATCTAACCTAGTTGTGCCTTGTATAATCTATACGTTTTATGATGAGTTTAGATTTAAAAAATTACAAAAATACCAATGTTTTGATGATCCAAACACCAATAATACAGAATTTTAATGTTGTTGTTTTGATTTATATAAGAGAATAAAATGATTATTCTATTACTTCCCTCTAAATAACAAAATATATTGTAAAAAGCATACACATCTACGTAAGACAACATATTGTATTTAAAAATAAATTTCCAATAGTTAACATTAAAATTAAAATATTGATCCTCAATACGTGTCTTAACTATCTTTACCCATCTGGCATTTCTTGAAATATCAATAGGCCTATAATAACTAAGGTTAACATTTCGTTATTAGGTTGGAATAACCTAGAATATCATCTACATTTCATGTCTATCTCAAACATTTTATTGTGATATAACTCTTAGATAATTTTTTCTGCAAAATGAGCTAAAATACTCGTACCTATTTCCCATCAGTTCTCCACAAAATAAAAACAAATATTTACCTAAAGATCAATATGCATCATTAATGAGTGTAATGTTTAGTACACGGAAAATTATATATAAATATAGGTTTTTAGCCTATATAACTTTTGCCAATCCTCACAGAAGCACCTTTCTTATGTACTCTTTTTAATCAGAAAACACGTTGTAAAATGTAATGGAAAGGTCGTTCCGTTGTTTTTTGTTAAAGGGGTCGGTAAAATCAGCTGGAGTTGCGTACACATACCCCTTTATCTAATTTTATTTTATTTATTTATTTTTTTTAAGAGGTTGGTGGCCTCTTTTAATCTTGCATTTGCCCGTCCACATAGACTAGGTGCCCGTGCGAGGATCGTTTACAGCAAAGCAAGGAGTGAGCCGGTACAGTACAAAGGTGAACTGTACTGATAAATTTTAGTGGCAGTGACCAGGATCCGAACCCACGACATCGCTGCCTTGGGCCCGGAGTCTGCGACGCTACCGACTGATCTGCAATTATAGACAGTGCAACAATGCAAACTTACTGCGTTGTGTAGATTACTCCGATTGACGAGCACCAGCTTGAAAAGTCTTGTGGTAGTTTAACCATTACAGTATTAGAAGATATAACGTATCATGCATACATTGTACCGTAGATTGAAATGTATTGAAAGTAATTGGCCGGCATTAGTTCCAATTATTACCGTAGTCGGCTTACGAACGTAAAATTGCGTGTTTTCGGTACTGGTAATGAAATATACATTAAAACTGTTTGATTGAGTTGTTAATTTGCTACAAATATTGTAAGGGAAGTAATTAAAAAGTAATTGAGATATGCTAGCTTTCAATGTTTTATGTAATACTTAAGGATTTCTTAGACCATTAACTGAACATCTTGTTCACGTTAACGATAACTGCAGCACATTGTATGTCAACTTGTTACTGCAGCACGGCTGAGTCAGTTTGCATAGTCAAGCAGCTTCTTTGTCGTCAGCAGCTGAAACGTTTATGTGGTTCTAACGCAAACACGTAAAGCGTTTTTGTAACCTTGACTTTGCCATTGTGAAATAAAAGGTTAATTTTCCCAGATCATCAAGACAATAAAATTGGGTTGTATTGTAGTATCAATTTAGAGTAAGTGTCTTCATGTGATTAATGTGAAAGTGATATTTACACAACCAATTATTTTACACTAAGTAAATACGGTTTAAAATACGGTCTCATCGGACCAGTTGTTGATATTTAAGTCTTCATATTGTATACATACATTTCATCTACATACTAAGAGATATAATTTCTCTATTAGAAACACCTTGCTATGTATAGTAAAACAAGTAACACAAACAACAAAACAAAAATACTGTAACCCGTACCGTACATGTCAACTAAAATGTTATTGTGTATAGTTAAACATCATTAGAATATTATCAGCCGCTACATCTACGTACTGTGTAATATTATATGTATTATAGACATTTAATTATGACAAATGTACCCAAGGGAGCAATGCAATGTTAACCCATCCCTATAAACTGCAATGTAGTCTCATCGTACAAATAGATTTGTCACATTGCATAATTAATAAAGTTTTTCTATATATAATACTATAATGGAAATGGAATAAACACACTCTATTAATAGATTGATTAATTTGTTTGTATACCTGATACCGTAATGACTGCAAGTTTCTTAAGATATTGACGAAATTAATTTTTAAAGAACTAGAATATTATTATTTTGTCAATTTGCAGCTGAAATTAAAAACAAAGCACACACCTTAGAAAAGGGTTTTTAGAAAAATGAACAACAAAATATAGCACATATAATTGATATTGGAATATTGGACACAGAAAATAAACTTATTGCATATAAACTTAACTTTTATATAACTTAGGTATAACATTGAATTGTCCATGACCTTTTGCTAAAAACTAACCAAATATAGGTTTTGATACAAAGATGAGGATTATTGATTCTCTGAAACAGTCAAGTTAAGATCGCGAACTTTGAACTCTGAATATACAATTTAAAAAACTTAAGAATTAATTATGTAAAATCTATTATTATAAAGTTTTATAGATGTAATATTCTTGTTTTTGTCCACCACAAAACTACACAGTGTGAGAACAAATGAATGAGTCAAAAAAGTATTATAGGAAGCCATATTGCAGCTCTAGAGAAATAATACAAATTATAGGCCTAGTTAAAACAAATTTAACTATATCGTGATATCGTGCTCTAGGATACGGAAAATATGACTTTAAATTTATAATGAGTTTGGTAGCAATACCTGCTTACCGAGTCAATTATCATAAATTGAGAATTCCCAAAATAATATTACCATTCGGTTAGCTGTAGCTGAAATAAAATAACTGTTTTACAACTAAGTTACAGTAATTCGATTTCTGTCCCAGCCAGACTATAATATTGATATACATGAACGAAGCAACTAATATTTCATGATATGTTATATGCTTGATTTAATGAACGTAAATGTGTGTATGCCCATGTTGTGCAAATCAGAAAATTTTAAGAATTAATGTTGTGTGGCATTGCTCATGTACTCTTATCCCAAATACGTTATATGGTATACTGCAAGTAGTTTACTGTATGTGCTTTGTTTTTCAAAAGGTATAAAGTGAAGATATCTTATCTACTTTACTAGAAATTTCATGGACATTTCATGGTTTTTGACTATTTCTCCCTTTTTTTTACCTAACCAATATACAGTAGTACAATAATGATTTTATATTCTGTAACTTGGCTTTAGAGATGAATGGATAATAAAGGAGGGAAAATCCCCTTTTTATGTCAATTAAGAATGATTAAATAAGAAGAATATGTTAGAATTCCAAAATAACACATACGGAGGCTATGCGAGAAACAGAGAGCCTAAGCTACGTTTTCTAAAAAGCGGCACTAACGCTCGGAAAATGGTGTCACATGATCAGTTGTAGATGTACTGTATTATAGACCTACTTAGTACGAGCGTTGAAGCTTACTGAGAAGCAAAAAAACACACATTCTCCAATGATATCATCAATTGATGTTGATATTCTTCGATTTTGTTGACAGGCTTCGTGGACACAAGCAACTTACAACCAAGCAACTGAGACAAAATATAGCCTTGTCAAAGAAAAATTCTAAAAAACATGCCCTCTCCATTGGTGTATCAATCAGCTGTTTGATATCATGGAAACGGACTATCAGCATTTTATTTTTAATTTTTTTTTTTTTTCCTGTTCTTTTTAGGCAATTTATGTAACAAGTTTTGATGCGATTGCCTTATTTACCGGTACTTAATTGCCTGCTAAGTCTCCATACTGCGACATATAGCTACTGTGTATGGCCAAAACATACACTCTGTAAACAAAGTGTTATTTATAGTTATAAAAAACAACTTTTGCAATTTGAACTAATACTATTTTGACCATTAAGTTCTTGATCTGGCACTGCAGTATATTATACAGGGTCTCTTATTGCTGTATTTAAAAACATACAGCTAACACGTTGCTAACATGCTAACATGTTTTGTTAGCAATGAATTGATTATAAGAAGTTAAATATAATTTATATTTTAGAACCCATTTTGGGCCCAAATGTACAAATATAAAAAAAGAATTGAAAGGGGAAAGACAAACAACATCGTAAAACAGTAATATATATATTTGCTAATCATTCGTTGACAAAAATATCTCGCTCCAGTGCTATACATTTGTATTTTAACTCTTAACATTATAAACATACAATCTATGGTACATTGTTACACTTACATAAAATTTTTAATATTAATTGTCATCGATGCATTATTTTATAAACTATGTACATAATTATTTACTCTATATTTTTATAATTTGATGCTTCGTTATTTATATACATTGTTGTAACCAACAAAATGCAAAAGTAGTACAGAACAAATTGAATATAGAACAGGGATGCTTATGATCTTATAAGATTATAACTGAAAGTTTAGATCAAATATCCAAGTTCTAACATGCTTGTTCGATAACACTTAGGCTAGATTATAGTTACTTACTTTAAGAAACTTGAGCATAATGGTAAAGTCAGTTCGCGACTTGCCTTGAGCATATTTCATACAACTAGGTTTGGAACCAATACCATTGCAATGATTGGTACCACTTTGTTTATCGACAAAACGTTTAATTACAAGAAGTACATTTTAAATAAAGAACAGTGTACTTTTAGTCATATTGAACATGTCTTTGGCTAATAAAGCTTATGAAGTTTACAAAATAACATATGGCATTGCTTTATTGTTTTAAGCTGAAAAATCAGTAAGCAAAAGGTCCTTAGGTTATTTCATTAATGCAGGTGATTGTTATTCGATACTAGTTCTTTGGAATTTAAAATTTGTTAAAAAATACCGTACAGATGTGAACTTTCTCGATATATATTCGTAAACAAAATTGTCATTATGTTTTGTTGTATCGTGGCCTATACATTCAACAACTGTTTCTACACACTTATGTGAACACCACTCCAAAGAAACATCAAGCACGGTTAGGTATCACTAAAGAGGACGGCTCATAGAAGGACCTGAGTAAAGAAGGCGACACCGAGTGTGGTGAATGGTTGTGCAAGAACGTAGCTCTCCCTAGAAATGCGGTTTTGGTTATAGCGTGAATTCTGTACATGGTATGGTTGGAAATCTCAAGGGAGTTTGAAATAAATGCTTAAGCTGCTCACTCAACTCGGTATGGCCATCTGTACTTTTAAAATTGCAACAATATTCTTATATGGATACAGACTCACTATTTACACTGAATACTGATTCTTAGGTTGTTATAGTCTGTTAGAACTTTGACCGAGGTGACGGTGGAGCGTTGGGTCACCCCGGTCGATAATCTCACGTTCTGAAGCAGCCTGGCTTCACTTGAGAGGCGCAGAAGCTGAGGCAGAAGCACAAGAGGAGCATCAGCACGGCTACGCTCAGCAAGTACACGGACCATGAGATCTGGCATGTGCCTGCGTCAGGACATAGTTATTGAGTTATCGTCATAAAACAATACCTTAAAACTATATCGCAATGTTTTTTTTTTCATTAAACATCCAGACTCTTCGTATATGCAGTTTTAGCTAAAACGTAATTATTGAACTCAATGTTGTAAAAAATATAAATGTTCCATTTGTACTACTATTTCGTCACAAAATTACCCGTAATAGTTATTAATTTTAACCTTGTAAATTTAAAATAATTATTTAATTGAGGTATAAATGTAAGTGATGGAACGGACGATCAAAGACGTTTCTAGTTTACATTGATTAGATGGTTTTGTTTCTCAGAAGGGATTTAAAATTAATTTATAACGCTACCAATAGTACATTTTTGAGTAAAATGTTCTCAAATTTAGCCAGTCAATTACATTTAAATGAAATTAAGTAAATATTTTATGTAAAATGACCATTTCTAATAGTGTAATGCAAAATAGTTTTCATCACTCCTGTTTTTATATATCAATAAACATGTTTATAATCGATGTCCTGAATGCATTTTATCTAAGTCCATAGTCATGATTCTGTAAACAAGTGCTTGGTTCCAAACAGCGAACACAGAATAAATTTTTTTTAAAATTTTTATTCTGTGTTCGCTGGTTTCAAAGTACTTTTGTTATCTTTCAAAATTGAAAACTATGATAATAGTTCAAGAGATAAAATGAAATGATTAAAGTAGTGCACTACTACTTGTCTGAAAGAGTGAAGTAATTTGAGTGGTGAAGTAAATTGATCTCACCAAGTCTATAAACGTGGGACGTGTTGCCACAACAATCTCTAACTTCTCGGTTGTCCCAACCAATGGGGTAAAGCGCCACACCTCCACTCACGAGCAGTGCTGAAATAAGCATAATCAAAATTGATAAGCTTCTTTAAGAGTGCAAATTATGTTATCTTCGTTATTTATTATACTATACGTAATTGCATACATTACGTACCACACATGATACGCAATTGCTAAAATAAATGGTACAAATATATGTCAAAATACAAAATACAAAATATGTCGGATGACTGTTGTTTTTAAATATAGTTTAAATTTAAAAACTAATGATTTCACCTAGTCGAAAATGGAGAGCTTTAATTTAATAGGATTATTATTTTTTTTTTGTACGCCTCAGTAGAAATAGGGACTCATTCCCTGGAAGCACCATCCGTTTCTTCAACAAACTCCCAGCTGCCACTAAGACCCTCGCCAGCAGAAAGTTTAAAACCAACACAGGATATTTTTTCCGAAAAAATCCCTACTTCTCAATAAAGGAATTCCTAGAAGGTAGTTTGGATGAGCTGAAGTAGAACATAGCGACCGCCATGAGTACTAAAATTATTTTTTTTACATATTTTAAAACTTGTGAGTCATATAAATATGTGCGGAAATAAAATAAGTAGTTTTTACGCAGACACAGCCTATTCCCATCATACGATGGGTCAACGGCCAAGAAGATGGTAATAAGGTAATACGTCTTTGAAATATTTGTAATTAATATTACATTTTGAAACGTTTTATTTTACTTGGTCGTTAGATAAATATTTAATATTGGTGTTTAAGCATTACACTTTGCATTCAAATTAAATGTGTTGGGATTTACAGGAGCAAATCATAATATCGTTAAAACTATTTTATCAATATGTTACTGTTAAGTAGTAGTTTTATTTGTTTCAAAATGATTCTACCGAACGATTTATGCAATTGAAGTTAATTGAGGTTCCTTATCTCGAAATAGTCTTGAAATAAATGTTTCGAACTTGTTAAAATGAATAAAGTCTCGTGGTTTTGGGGTTGATAATTTGAACCAAGCTTTATTCGTTAATACATGTACGCAAGTTTTGGCTATCCCTATGTTTGTTTTAACGTTATTTCTCTAAAAAGTGTTTTTCTTAATAGTTATCTTGGAATCACTAGAAAATATACAAACATATATCTTCTATGTGAAATATATCTTGAAATATCGGATAAAGTATAATGTTTTTTTTTTTTTAGTTATTGTGCAGATATAACATGTTATTTTTACTTTTCTAAAGAGATTTCTTACAAAAAAATACATACGATATACTAACCATTGATTATATTTAAGGTAACATGCTTATAGTAGATAAAAGGCTTATAAAAAAAAAAAAAAAACTTCTTGATCAGCATTGTACGTGTTATTAAATTTACGGAAAGTAAATAAAAGAAACGTCTTATAACACTTAAAACATATATTTACGCTTATACTGTTACTCACAAGACGGTAAATATACAAAAAATATGGTAAGTTGTGATCGATTTCGATTGGACACTTGCCTTCTTTTTGTATATTTACCGTCTTGTGAGTAACAGTATAAGCGTAAATATATGTTTTAAGTGTTATAAGACGTTTCTTTTATTTACTTTCCTTTAAAAAAAAAAAAAAAACATACCAGCGAAGAGCTGTAGCGCTCCAGCTATCCTAGCGGAGGATGTGTGAACTACGTATGTAATACAGCAGGCAGATACAGCAGTAACAGCTACTAGAAGACTGAGTGCACTTCCGGTGCCTACCATGACTGTACTGGCCTGCCACCAGGGACTAGGGATATCCCAGAACCTGAAAACATGGTATACTGTAAGTGACCCTACTAGATTATGTGTGAACTACCTATAGTAGTATAGCAGGCAGATACTTCAGTAACAGCTACTAGAAGACTGAGTGCACTTCCGGTGCCTACCATGACTGTACTGGCCTGCCACCAGGGACTAGGGATATCCCAGAACCTGAAAACATGGCATACTGTAAGTGACCCTACTAGATTATGTGTGAACTACGTATATATAGCAGGCATAGACAGCTAGTGCTAGAAGACTCAATGCACTGCCAGTAGCTACCATTACTCTGCTAGCCTGCTATCAGGGGCTTCGAATATCCTATATAACTTTACAAGATCTTATTATAACACAATCACTTATATTTCATTTATATAGCACAACATGAGTATGATAAGATAACACAAGAGAGTATGTTTAATTCATATTATAAAATAGTTTATTCTTTTAAAACAAAAACAAAAATTTGGCCATCTTCGTTTCCCTTTTTAAATAATACCATTATAAAGTCTCGTTTATAGGCTATTGCATTTTGCTCATTGGTTTTCCTGTGCTGGTATGGGGCTCGCATTAAAAAATAAGTCCCTACTTATTATTAATAATTCATTTTCCTGTTGTTCTGTATGATAAATTTTGTCTTGTTATGAGTCATATGTTCAGCTGCTTTTCTTTAATTTAATCTTTGTAAATACAGTGAGATAAGTTACGTTTTCCATCCACAATAGAATCTCTTCTCTTTTATTTTTCCTTTTCAAATAGCTTTAAACGATACGATTTCAAAGCAATCTACGTGTCATAAATATTACAATTTTAATGCTTTTCTCCAGTATAAAAGTAGTGGAGGGGGACAAGTATATCTTTGTTGGCGGGGTCAGTGGAGTTAACAATACATTTAATGTCTTATAACTACATAACATGTTATTTCAATAATAAGACAAGGACTTTACTAACCTTAAAAACTTAACATAAAATCTTATTAAACTTGGGTTATCTCGTAATTTGTGTATAATGAGTATATTGGAGCGTAGATGTAGCTTATGGGTACAGTTTTAATTTTTTAATATTTTACTGACCTTTGAACTCATGCATTGTGGTACAACCCACATAATATGCACATTATTTAATGTTTTAAGCAAAAATACAGTATTGAATGCTAAAGATATACGTATAGGGTTGATCAGTAATAGAAATGAACAAGCAAGGGAGGATAATAATTTTAAATCGCTGGGGATTGCAAATATTGATTTCATGCAAAGTCGCGTTCTGTGATATTTATTGAAGTTGGGCCAACCGAGCCCAAGGGCTTAGCTCACTTCTCCATTAACCCTTCTATTGGAATTGCATGCCTTTATAAATTAGTATTAAAGCATTGTCTACACGATGTGATAGTAAATATTTAATACTTTCAAAACAATTAAAATTTTCAATTTTAGTACCTACTGTATGAACACTGTATTTAGTAAAAATATAACAATAGCATGCTATGACAAATTAATATTCATTATAATGCGCCTTTTAAAAAATGAATCGCATAGTACTTTGCACAATATTGCTTAAATTATTTGTAATATTTTGCAATAACATACTATAGTAACGATATAAAAGTATTAGAAACTGCAAAACAGGTACTATACTTGGCTTTAATTAGGTTTGTGTGGTAACCGTAGTTGCAACAATTTCTATTAAGTAATACTTTTACAATAACGTTCTTGAATTCGTTATCTTTTTAGCTAATTTCCCATACAGGAAATAAGCTATTACCGTAGTGTTCATGGTGAGATCCTAACCCTGGACCGATTTTTTTTCGTTTTGAGGTCCCTATAGGTCAAAAACACTATCCGTTCAAATATATATATATGTCCGTTAGCACGATAACTCGAGCAAAAATGATCCGATTTTGATAAAATTTGATATAGGTGTACCTATAATTCACTTTTTTAGCTTTGAAATAAATTTAAAAGTACTGTTTTATTGTAAAAATGCAAAAATGTATTGCAGAAATTCCGTATGCAATAAAATATCATGTATTGGCCAAACTAAGAAGGACGATTTTTTTATTTTCAATTAAGTGTCCATAATGGAATGAAATATATTGAACACATAATGGTTGTCAGTTTAAAAACTCTAGAAAATACAATACAGAATTAACAAATTGATACTTAAAGTCAACAGTGTGTACCATTGTTCCGGATATTTTCCAGCAAGTTGAGAGCCAAGTAAGCCAGACTAATGGTTTGAGGACAGTTTCGGACTGTGATTATTGATTTGATGTAACCCAGTGTACCAAGATGTTTTGGAATTGTTGCCAACAAACCCCAGAGCAGTACCATCTCGTACCCATTTTACACCCCTCATCACCGTCTAGAACTTGCTATATACTCTTCGTCCTCAGCAATAACAACACTTGGCGCCAGTGGGCTCCTCGAAGTGGTTTATTGGAGTAATCTTTGTGTCTGAGTTGTTTAGAAATTCATATTTCGGTTAGACAAATAATCTTATAACTGGACTTAAATTGTTTGTTTGAATTATTACCAGGCTTATCGATAATAGATTGTCCATTGTCTTTGAAGGAGGTATAACAAGTCTTTTTAATCGCTAAATTGTACTTTATTTACCCTTTTAAACAACGGACAAGTTGTTTAAGACTTTTTAAAACCCTTAAAAATTACGTTATCCTTAGACAAATTATTATTTACTCCAGACACGATATTTAATAACAAAAAAATCTTAAGTAAGTCTTACATTTATTGATTTATTAACTAATACAACATTAAAATAGCAGGCTAGTAATTTATTTAAGTTCTTCTCAAATTTTGAGGAGCCCATAACCTGATTTTGACCATGATAGATAGAAGGGTATAGTAATAAGTTAGAATGAAGTAAAAAGAGACACACATATTGTTGAGAGCAGAAATTCCATACCAGTGAATTTTTGTGGCATTTTACATAAAAAGTTAAAATAAATAATCCATTGCACCTCATGAATACAAACTTAAAAAGCGTAAAAATGAACTTAAATCAATATAACTGTTACACCTTCAGAAACATACCTTATTGTATTTGACAAATACTTTTCTAATATTTCATCCTTAATTAATATTTAGATCTTGAGTTCAAGTTAAATTTTACTTTGTTCAACAATCTGAGAATACCCATAGTGTGCATTGCATAGTGTGCTGTGGTGAATATTCATTTATAAGGTTAGCATTACCTGGAATATCTTCCACACTCCATTACGATCTCAACCGCACCCTGAGACGTCACCCTAGGATAGTTACATCTTCGGAACGAGCTGAAGTAAGCGTCCACCTTTCCCATCAGCTTTCCCTGAAATGTGAAATGTAATATTTAGTTGAGGAGCAGTACAAAGAATAATACTTAACATATTGGTCACTTAAGATGATATTTGTTAAACGTTTTCATGTAAGACAACGTTAATCCCTGGAACGCTTAACGATTAATATATCTTTTAACTTCGTAAATAAATAATTTAAATTGTTGTTAAGTGAAACCAAAATATATTCTAATTTCAAACATCAGTCATCTGGGCTCTTGCTGTTCATTCCAAAACGTATTAAGGTTATTATACAGGGTGTTTATAAAAAAACTTTACAACTTTAACATTCTCCCATTCATGATCCATGGGACATAAACGTTTCCTATTGACACCACATGAAAGGGCTGCTCAAAAAGTTTTAATCAGCTGGCAGTTCAATCAGCTGATGGCCTTACATTGTTGTTTGGTAAACAAAAACAAATAATTGAAAAGTCTCATTAGCATCGCAATGGAAGCACGAATCAAAGCGCAGTGTGTGGAGTGGTTCATTGAAACGAAATCTGATGTTGTTGTTCAACGGAGATTTCGGACAAGATATAATAGGAATCCTCCTTCAAGACCCACAATTAGGGCTTGGTACTATAAGTTTATGAACACTGGCAGTTTGAATCACAAGAGAGGAAACGGTCGACCCCGTGTAAGCGATGAAGATGTGCGGCGTGTTCAACAATCATTTGTGAACGACCCGAAAAAATCCACCAGATCTGCGGCACGTGATTTGAATATAAAACATTCTACTGTACACAAAATCCTTAAATCATTGAAATTTGTTCATACAAACTTCAAATTTTGCAAAAGATCACGCCGAATGACTGGATTCTCCGAAAAGAATTTGCTGTGACTGTGCTAGATCTTTTATTTATTTATTTATTTATTATCATCACATTACATCAATGATTGACAGGTGATTTGTCATCAAACTAAAATCTATTGTAACAAAACAACAATCATAATATTAAAAACAATTATACATTTGTTAGGAAATCTTCCAGTGAAAAAAAATCGGTTGGCGGAAGATGAAAATTATTTGAGAAGAATTTTTTTTTCAGACGAGGCTACCTTTCATTTATCAGGTAAAGTCAACAAGCAAAATGTTAGAATATGGGGAACCGAGAACCCCCAATGTTATCAAGAGCACACCAGGGACAGTGAAAAAATTAATGTTTGGTGTGGATTGTTTCATGATAGGGTGATAGGTCCTTTTTTCTTCCAAGAAAACAACATAAATGGAAACATTTACATTGATATGTTGGAGAATTTTGCTTTTCCCCAACTAGAAGAATTACAGCCAAATGTAATTTTTCAACAGGACGGTGCTCCCCCGCACTGGAAGAGGTTTGTTCGGGATTGTTTGGATCAAAAATTCCCAAATCGTTGGATTGGCCGTGGTGGGCCAACACCTTGGCCTCCTAGGTCACCAGATATAACTCCTTGTGACTTTTTTGTTTGGGGTTTTGTTAAGAATCGTGTCTACGCTAGTAAAGTGGACAACAAAGAAGAACTAAGAGAAAGGATCAGGAGAGCGTTTGATGAAATAGATCATTCAATTTTGCGTCGTGTTTGGTCAGAACTGGAATGTCGACTTGATTTTTTGCGAGCAAACAACGGGAAACACATTGAAGTTAGGTAAACTTCTTATCATGTAAATAAAACTTGAGAAAATTTCCTAAATTTTAATTTTTGTTTCATAGCTGTAAGTGAAAAAATAAAGGTTTTATGATTGTTTAAAGTTGTAAAGTTTTTTTATAAACACCCTGTACTTTGTTAACCCTACTGTTGAGTTATTTCCCTTATTAATAGCCTATCTTTAATTAGACGTATTATCTTAATTCTAGTTTTAAGTCTCATTACTCTATGACAATTAGAGTTTCGGTGAATTTCCTCTTTGAGGAATATTTTATAATCAATATTTGAGTGAAAATCAAAAGGCAATTGGAAATTTACCTAGACTGCAGGTTTACTGTGGTGGTTTTTTTAATACTATTCTTTTTATAATCAATGTTTGAAATTTTAACACCTTTATACAACATTAAAAAACAACATTGCATTGTTACATTACATTGTTTTAACATTGCAAAACAAAGGTCCAAAAAAGTGGTTTGAAATGTGTGTAAATATGTGTATAATATTAGGTGTTACACTTATTCTTTGAAGCTTTGACTAATATCCCTCAAAGTAGGCTATATGTCAAGCATATAAATTTGCATACGGTATATGGATATGTCAGCAGTTATAATGTAACCACTTTATATTATAAAACAATGTTTATTGCATATATGATATTATGTGAAATTGATTGAACCTGTCACCCAGCTTTTTCCATAAAACCCTAAAAAAATCAAACTAGGACAAGCGGTTTTATCCATGTGATGCTACAACTAAAAGAAGGTAAATATCATTACATATACGTTTGGTGGAAAACCCTGTTTTAAGATGAAAAAATATATTTAAATGATTTTAGTTTACTAAAAACTTTATTCTTTCCATAAATCAAACATATATATTTCAGTAAGAATATTGTAGTAATTCCAATAATATGTCACATGCAAAATGTATATTTAAAAATATTGGAACAAGTGATGAGTTATTATTTGCATTATGTCTTTAAAAAAGAAATCTTGTTTGTAACTATAGTATCTCTTTTAGAGTCCAAGTTCCACAACAGTTTTTCTTTAAACCCACAACTGAAGCTAGTCAATGTTTATAGTTTGTGCCAGAATCACAATAAGACACTAGTTGGAGATGCGCCAGCTCAATCTCCAAACACAATACAGCTCTGTTGATAGCCATACTCAGCTTGTCTTGGAAATACTTATATGTTTAACTTCCATTATGTTACTGATTGTTCCATGTTATTGCATGATGTGAAGAATATATTTTATACTGTAAGTCCTAACAACAAAAATGTCTTTGTTACCATACAATTAAATTCCAACTTCTTTGCTTTAAATAATCGTTACCTAATACTGATCTTTGAAAGTGGAATATTTGTTTTTGTACTCGAATTTTACTTTGCGTGAAAGATAGAAAAATGTTACTAATTTCATGTTTTAGATTTCATTTTCATTGGAAATAATACGTATTATTTTTAAATAAAAATTACTATAATTAGTGATCTTGTAACTAAACCTGAGTTCAAAAATACCTATTGAGTAGTTACGTTGCAGCACGATGCTGTTTTATCTTAACTCTATCACCTTCTACAATACAGTAAAGTATATTTTCCCACTATTAAAAACTGTTGTTTAATTTATAGTTGAGTTTTAAATTCCTTATGATTTTATTTTAATACAACGTAGCACGATCAAAAAAGTACGTTTGCATCGCTATATCATAAGCTTTGATACAATAATACTTGTAGAATACAAATGAAGACATCATTTTAGGAAGAGAATGGAGAATGAGTTCATGCAAGCAAGTGGCCTGCATTTAGTGTGACTGTCCTAAAATTATCAGACCACACACAAAATAGCCCGATCTACTTTGTTGGACCTACCTTGGATTGTTTGTGACATTTGTTCAGGTCAAGTCAACAGGGCTCTCTTTTGGTGTTTATTTCTTTATGACCTAGGCCATATCAAGGCCATGATTCTTGGCACGGAGGGTACTAGATGAACTAATTATAACCAATCATGGAGATGGGGACGCAACCTGAGTGCGTAACAACTGTGACGCATAGTTCCGATTTTCCTCAAATGTCATGGGATGACTTCGACCATTGATAGCAGACATAATGTTGAGCCTCCAGACGGGATTTTTCCCAAAGTGGGCCACGAAAATAATGTTTCAAGTCGTCCGGAGTGTTAATAATATAAGTTATAAAATGTTCTGCCTTTATTTATAATAGTTATTTGCCAATAACACGAAGTTTCTATTTATACATAGAGTTAATTATTCTATAATTTTGTATCTGAAAGTCTTATTCATTGATGGAAACTACAATTTTTTATGGGTACTAGGTTAATAAGTCTCAGGTTTACCTGTAAGGATAAATAGTTTTGTATCATCAAATAAAAAAGTAATACCACTTTAAAAACAGTAGCTATTTTATTATATTTGAAAATCTTTAACAATACATTTCTAATTCGGCCGAACATTGTTTTAATTTTTTCGCAATTCTGTTAAATTGTAGCTGAGTGATTTAAATATAGAAGCGAAACACTATTTCAACATAAAGCTGTAGGCTTACAATGTTTCACTCAAAATACTCATAATATTTTGTTTGAAGCCATTTAATATTAACAATTGGATACTTTTAAACACATAAGTTATGCGGAATTTTACAATGAAAACCCCGTAATAGAAACTTCCACTGTGGTAAATTATCTGTAGAATGGTATTTAATAGAAAAACAACCTAGGCCATAGTTCATTTGGTAGTTTGCATTATTAACATTACATTTGTGATGTCTGTAAAGTATTAAAATTTGAAAATATTGTTATAAATATGTTCTAATTAGGCTTTATATAATTATCTCAATTGCCAAACTATCTCAATACCACTTTCATTACAAAAAAACGTATAAAAACATATCGTTCATCAATGTTGTCTGAACATTACCTTAAACAAACACTAATTTATATGTGTCAATAAAATATAAGTTCACCAATTATTACTCAATTAAATTTTTATTTACATGGTTACAATTATGAACTTTTAATTATTATATTTAACATGGCCACATAACTAAAATTAATAAATCCTGGTTTACAATTTCAATTTATGCTACTTAGTACATGTTGATATCATCACTATAATATCTACTGGGAAAGTTTTATTTATTATCCTTCCAGTAGTATTTTAGCAATAACTAAGTAAAAAGTGATGAATGTAGCGTTTGTATTAGACGCAAAACGGTGTTGAGTTGTTGAGTTGTAATATACTATGTAGTGAGAATGACGGTATTCAGAACACCCTAGGCAACACGGTCGTAACAAGCACTACAACGTTTCATATTAAATATTTTAACTATATAAAAAGTTTATTATTT